ATATAAAACAGCACTAACTGTAGTAATGTCTTGGAGAACAGAATTTTACTCACAGAATCGACGTCAGTCTCTTGCGTAATCATGTCTAAACCTGCCAGCTGCTCCAGGATCAGGCTGCCATCACTCACCTTCATCAGAAAATTAAATAAAACAAACAAAACAATGATGACAACATGAACACCAAGTTTCTGGAAGCATCTGTGACTATGTGAAACGAGCGTCGTGTCACCTGTTCATTCATCTGTGCAGACATGGGGTTCATGTTGCCTCCACCGCTGGCCATGGACACGCCCAGGTTCATGCTGCTGCTGTCGTATATTCCACCGCTGGCTTGTGTGGAGTACTGAGACTGCTGCGTGTACACACTGAGAAAACAYCGGCTCAGTCTCAGCTCATGTATAAACAAACATTTTGTTTAAAAAAACGGGTCAGAATCTTCTACCTGTTGCTGGTGGAGATGTTTGCAGGCTGAGACCACCCGTTCAGGTCAGCACTGGACGGATAGCTGGGGGGGCCTCCTTGGTTCGGGGCTTGGGTTTGGCCCTGGTTCTGTTGCATCATGGAGCTCTGACCCTGGCCCATCCTGGGGGACAGCAGGGGGCTCTGCGGAGTGGTCGCCCCRCATGGGAAGCATGATGCTGGGTCCTGGTGTTGTTGCTGCTGGCTCATTCCTGGAAGACAGAACGCATAAAACATGAAAATATAACACGTTACTTTATACTGATAATAGGTTCAATAATTGAACATCTGATGTGAATAATAAGACAATAAAGGATTTCTGAGTGGCTTAAAGAGTTAAAAACATGGAAAAAAACAAACAAAAAAAGATTTAAAGCTCGCAGGAAACCACCTCCAGTTTGGACATTTAGTTATAAAAGAGAGCAATGATGCATGCAAACTGTAACATATGGCACAGTATGAGGGAAGACTATGATGCAACCAGCGGTTGTACATCCTTGTAAGATGTCGCTACAATGCTAACGCCAGCTTATCCAGGTTAGTCGCTAGCCTGGTTAAATAACGGTAAATAAAATGATTAATAAAAAAATAATAGCTTCTGCAATGATAACACCAGCATATCCATGCTAGTTGCTAACCTCTCAAACGCTAACACCAGCAT